AGGAGAGAAGACACCTACATGCAGAGATGTTGTATTTTTGTCTGACACAGAATAACTTACTCAAAACACAGTCAAAAAGCTTTCACTGTGGTTCTGAAAACTTAATTTGATGAGTTCTCATTTGCACATCCCTCAAATAAGTTATCATTAGCCTCATAGAAATAGTTTGTAACTTTTCAAAATGATGTAAAGGGACTGGTGCCTACTGCTTTACACTGGAATGTTCATGATTCTAAAAATAGTAACACCTTTCATTGAACCCTCAAAAGTATCAGGCTTGGAGCTAATCCCTTATATTAAGTGCATTTTAAAAAATAAAAAATACATTAGAGAAGACATAATTTCTATTTTATAGCAAGGAAAGATGTGGGCCATAGGCTTCTTTTAAGGCTACCGTTTGGGTAAAATGGTAGATGTAAGAGTTGAGCCAAGTTGAGCCTGATCAGCTTGACCTCCTATGTGAAAATATTCACCACTGCATTGCTCTCCTGGTTTTGGAGTGATAAAATCTTGTAGAAAATAGTGGAGCATGAAGAATTAAATAAGGCAGGGGTAAGAGGAAAAGGGTACGGGAGGGATAGCACTAAAAAAACATTGAAAGGCCAAATGGAAACCTATTACTGTAGAAAATACCTAAAGAGTGTTTGTGTATGTGTGTGTGTGTGTGTGTGTGTGTGTGTGTGTGTGTGTGTATGGCAATTTCTCTTGCACACATAGCAGAGAGTAGCAAATAAAGCTCCAATGACAGAAACAGGCTATTCCTTCTGGAGTTAATCATCAGTAGGGACTCCTAGACCCTAAAACATTACAGGGTATTGCCTTTACTCTGGGTCACCATCCAGAATGTGATGGTAATACTCTATTGCTAATGACATCATACACTAGAGGTATAGAACGTGGAGAAATATGCTGATACTTACCTGGAATCTTCATCTTTATTGGCTAGATTTCACAGTGATAGAAGGTGCTACGTATTCTACTCAGGAGAAAAGCTATCATCAAACTTATTCATCTGTGATCCGTGTATGCTACAGTAATGGCAAGACATGCCCAAAGATGCCAATAGTGACACAGGTGTTATGGGAGTAACCAACCATCTTCTGATTTGATATATGACCCACTTTATAATATGGAACCTAAGCCTGGGACTGGGGCCAATAACACAAGACCCAGGTGCATCTTATGACCTAGAGAAGAATCTATTGCTATTATTCTGTTAAGTGGACAAAGTATTTAACAAATTTTCAAAAAACGAATCCTTATACCCATAGATTAGAACATCTCTTGACCTTCATCAGAGATGCTTCTTTGTAGTAGATGGTGGTGAACACAGAAACTCACAACTGGTCAACCTAAAGAAAATAATATATAGCAATCTGGTTAAGTCCTAAATGAGACCTCTACATCACACTATCTTCTTCCAAGACTCAGAGATATTTCAGAAGAGGGAGCACAGAAACACTTTAAGAACCAGAGGGAGTGGAGAACTACAGCAGAACAGTGTTTTCTGTACACAACAGAGCAATTGCACATATGATCTGACTGAAGCTATGACTACAAGCACAAGAGCAAACCAGACAAAAGTCCTAGACTAGGTGGAGAAAGTGGCCACTCAAAGTCCTGCCCCTAGCTGAGGAGCTCTTGGGAAAATAAATGACTGCTAGGACAGGGAGACTAAGCTTTATTCAGTAATGTGGCCCCTGAGGAGATACCCACGTTCCAGTAGATGAGATTATACCTAAGTATAATCTCGCTTTATAACACGCTGGTTACACAAAGTGTACTATATGGGTTTAAAAAAGTAAAGAATAGAACACATGAAATTTGGAAGAAATTTGAAAAGGATAGTAGGGTAAAGAAGGAGTTGGAGGAGGGTTACTTAATCAAAACACATTATATGCATGTATGAATCTTCAATCAATTTTTAAAAAGTCAATTTATAGCTCTGTTCATATTGAAGGCTTCTTTCTTAAATCCCATGGATATCAATGAGACGTTTTGGGTCGTCTTAGGATATACATTTCCAATAGACATTGTGGGTACTTTCCTGGACATGACTCAATACCATATCCTAAGAAGCACCACCACCTTACACTTGGCCAGATACTGTTTAAAATCATAGGCTTGGTTTATTTTTTATTAGAAAACACTTTTCATTAAGAATTCTAAGTAGACAATTTTTGCAAGAAACTAGAAAAAATTAATTAATGATTCCATATTTTATTTGGATAAGTTGAAAACATTCTTAATGACATTTTTACATAAGCTTTGAAATCTCGTTTCTCATGAGAAAGAAGATTTGTAATGAAAGAGGCCCAGGAAGATACAGAGAGCCCAGTTCAATTGCATAAAACACCTCATCTATGATTTAGAAAATCTCCCTCTCTACAAACACACTTGCACTCTTACTTTTTATCAGAGTCTCTTGATATATCCAAAACCTACATGTATTAGAAAACAAATACTCAAACGGAAAATTATATGTTCTTAAACTAATAGACTCACAAAGTCACACTATGCTCTGATGTACAAAGCAGGTACCCAATAACCTGAGTGAGCCAATTGGATTATTTATAAGCAAACAAAAGGGGATAACATTTGAAATGTAAATAAAGAAAATATTTAATAAAAAAAACATTTATAAGCACAAAGTTCTTTTACCAGTTTCGGGAGGGCTCCTTGACCCTGCACTGTAGATGCCTATGGCTATGCAGGCATTGCCTGACTAAGGAGAATTCATGCTCATCCCCAGCAAGACATTCAACATTGTACACCAAGTTTTCTACTCTTCCCTACTCAATCCCTTGCTTCACATTTAACAGTCACACTGTTAAATTAGTTAATAATGATTAATCAGAATCAGTCTATGTGGTATTCTTCATGCTTGCCAGGCAACAAGACATGGGGTTTGAAGCTTAAAGACGCTGATCTAGGCATAGGTAATGGGAAACATAGGAGAAGTCGTTGTAAGGTTAGCCAAGGAAAACGTGGTTGTGTGTGAATGGGTTGGCCATGTGTGGCAAGTAGAGATGATCTGAGCACAACTGAGGGAGGCTGGAAGAGGAAAAACAGCAGGATGTTATCAAGAACAGAGAAGAGCTGCAGGAGGTAAAGGGAAGGGTTGCCAGATGCTTTAGGCTAAGTTAAAGAAGGAACTTTAAAGTGTTCTTTGAGAAGGAAGCCAAAGGTTGTATTCTCTGATTTATCCTCCCCCCCTCCCCGCTTCTCACCCTCACATGGTATGTGATTCCATGATTAAATAAGTTACATTCAAGATATATAAAAGCCAGGCACACACTTTTAATTCCAGCACTTGAAAGGCAGGCAGATCTCTGTGAATTTGAGGCCAGCCTGGGCTACATAGTGAATTCCAGGACAGCCAGGCCTACATAGAAAGACCTTGTCAAAAAAAAAAAAAAGAGCGAGAGAGCGAGAGAGCGAGAGAGAGGGAGGGGAGGAGGGAGAGAGAGAGAAAGAGAGAGAGAGAGAGAGAGAGAGAGAGAGAGAGAGAGAGAGAGAGAGAGAGAGGCAAGAAAGATATGGAGAAAAGGAGGGAGAGAGGGAAGGAGGGGAGAATGAATGAATGGATGTACTATAAAGAGCCACCTTTTCATATCCTCCATTTGTTATCCCATTGTTCCCAAAAGAATTTCTACTATTTTAAAGCTCCTTGAATAAAATGACTCCCAAATGCTTGAGTCATTTACCTCATTGTTTATCCTGTAAAATTTACACTTCTCATTACTGAAATGCAATCAATCTCAGGAGTCTTGGATGTGTAGAGAAATTTTTAAATGAGATATTGAGAGTGATTTTCAAGTAAGCAGCTGTGTACCAAAGTTCCATTTTCTTAAGTAAGGTTCCTATTGCTGTGATAAAATATCATGGCCAAAATCAACTTGGGGAAAAAAGGATTTATTTTCTCTTACAGCTTGTAGTTCATCATCCAAGAAACTGAAGACAAGAACCTTGAGGTAGGAACTATGCAGAGGCTATGGAGAAGTGACTTGCTCAACCTGCTTTCTTATAGCACCCAGGACTGCTAGCCAACCCAGGGATGACACTTGTCCACAGTGAGCTAAACCTTCTCAAGTTACTCAGTCAACTAAGAAACTGCACCACAGGCTTGCCTATAGGACAGTCTGGTGGAGGATTTTCTCTATTGGCACTCCCTTTTCCCAAATGGCTCTTCCTTGTGTTAAGTTGACATAAAACTAGGTGATTGCACAGTTTGTTTGTGTATGTCCCACCTTCTAAACCAGTTTCTCATTCCCCCTCCTGGTCACTCTGTATCCTTACCCTTTTTTCATTTCTCATTGTCCATAGATGTGTAAAGCAATTTGAATATAGGGAACCTCTATATGATACATAATTACAGAGGTTTCTTTTGCATTATAAAGGAACAGTAGACATCCTTATTTACCCAGTTCTTGCTCTATGCCAGATGCTATTCTAAGCTCACTGTATTTTTTCTTACTCTGTTTATCATGCTATGAATTTAGAACAAGTTAGTTTATTCTTTGACAAAATTTGTCAAAATATATTATTTTGCATATCAGTTTGAATTGCATAACCCATTTTCAAGCCATAAAAATACTAACCATTGTGTAGTAAAGTTTATTTTTTCCAGCTAAATTCTTATTACCAGGCCCTTAACAAATGTTAAAATATGATTATGATTATGATAATGATATGTCAAAGCACAGTAAAATCCTGAAATACCTCCTAAGTTGCAACAAAAAAATTAAAGCACACGTCATAAAACCCTAGGGATGCTCATATGCTTTCATTCTTTAAAACATGGCAGTGCATATATATATATGATTTGTGTGTATATAAAATGAATGATACAAGCATCACCAGTCCCTCACAGCAAAATATTATCATTTTATAATTTTTAAATGATGCTGGCATTCAAAGGTTAGTTCCTCTCTTACCAGAACTCACATACATTTACCCTTTATGCTCTTTTGATGAAAAACAGAGTAAACTATACTTACTTCAAAAATCCAACTTTTGCAGAAACTTGCAGATCAGCAGAACAATTTTCATAGGCACAAAACCTTGCAAAGTTTATCTGGAAATAAAACATGGCAACGTTTATTTTAATTCCTATGTATTTAAAGAATACGACACCTGTGCTTGACAAAAATAAAAGTCACACATTAAATTATAACTTATGTCTCCCCAAGGTTCAATCTGAGAAGTAGTCAGGATGTTCAAATACACACTTTCAGGGCTACAGAAACTCAGTTCTTCGGGTGCATTCCAGGCCTAAATTTGTTAAGTCAAATAAGCTTTGAGAAATTATATTAAAGACACTATACAGATATTTGTAATATTAGCTGTAAATATATTCCTAATCGTCCTTTCCATCACTTTGTCATGCTACATTCTGATTAAATTCATTACATAAAAGTAAAACATCCATTTTATTTTGGCATAGGGATGGGCAGTGACTTATATCCAAGAATACATCTATATATAGAAGCTGAGAGGCAAAACTTTGTGGAAACATTGAACAAAATTGAATGGTAGCCTGTCGTGAAGTTTGTTCAATTTATTAAGCTCTAATCATCTAAAAGGATCCATGTACAGTACAGGGTTTGCATGTGTGTCTGAGGAAGATGTGAAGGACACACTATGTAAAAGCAAATAAATAAAAATATTAAAATGACTCAGCACAATAGGAATAGGTGACAAAGGGGAAGAAAGAGAGATCTAGAGAGAGAAGAAAGGAACAAGACACAGGAAGTGGGAACTGAATAGTCATGTGACATAATAGAGCTTAGTACGACCACACTGGGGAAGTTGAAGTATACATATTCCACCAAATGATTAAGTCAGCATGATTTTCAATCTATTATTCCTAATTGGAGAGCACATGGGTCTAAAGATCAAAATATAGATTACAACTTCCTAATATTTTCTCCTGTGTGTTTGCAGTATTGGTATTTAAATCATTGAAGACATTAGAAAGTAATTGATACTGAAAATTGCAGTTCAATAAAAGATTTTTTTAAAATCCCAACTGACTCCATAACTATTTTCATGTAAGAATCTAGAAATTTGCTCTTAAGTAATTATGCTAATTTGGTCAGGTATCCTAGACTAGACGGTAGTGATTATGAGATAGGTCTGCTAACATGAGGTAAAGTAGTTTTACTTGGACAGGGTATGAAGGAGACCTTGGATCACCCCTTCCATATTTTACATTTTATCTACCATCAGTGCTTGCTTTAGTGCAGGCCTTTTGACTGTGCCCCAGTGCATACTGTTAACTGAGTCTATGTTGGTAGACAGTTAAGGTCTCAACACTGGGACTGCATGAGCACATTGTCAAGGAAATTGAGATATTCCAGAACAGAACCATTTAGGAAAAAATAATAGCTCACTGGCCAGAAGACAAGGATTGTCTTAGTACGCAGTTGTTACTGAGATGAGGCTAAAAACATATAAAAATAAATTTTGTCACATACTAAATAATGTGTTTATAGATGATGGAACTTCAGCAGAAGAACTGAAAATTCAGAGTGAATCCATGGCCAGGGAGAGACACAAGAAACAAAAGTAAGGGATAAAGAAAGAAAGGCCAGTGCATGCATGGAATGGGGAGGACCAGTGAATACATGGAACGAGGAAGAGAATAGGTATATAGAATGGCATTGAGTAATCAATTGTTATCATAACCAATGCCTACTGTGGGTTCACTTGAGAAATTCATTTCTTTAAAGAGAGAAAAACTTACATACACTCTGCATAAACATTTATACATAGGAAGATACTCATGTGACTAAATGCAAGTATAAACATATATAACTAAACATCCCAAAGGAACTATTAAACACACACATGAGAGAGAGAGAGAGAGAAAGAGAGAGAGAGAGAGAGAGAGAGAGAGAGAGAGAGAAATAAATCTTAAATCTATTTTCATTAACGCTTATAAAAATTTTTAAACAATTTAGGTACATTTCAATTAATTTTGTCCTGTTTTTAAAATTCTTCAATTATGTTTTAAATATGCTATGTTTTAAATACAAGAAAATACTCAACCGTTTTTCTAATGATGTCTTTTTCTTTCTTCTGCTGAAGGATCGGCTGGAGTGGTGGGAATTCTTCCATGTTTCGTTTGGTGATCACGTGATGCCCAAGGTGGTACGTGGCCTCCACATGAATGGGGGTGAGGATGTCTCGCACATCTTTCTAAGGGAATTGAAAATCATGTATACAAATAAAAGCAGGAAGCATGAATAGAAAAAGGTACACAAAATCCTTTCCTTCTAATGGGTCAAAAAAAAAAAAGAACACAAACACAATACCCACATTTTAGCAGAATTACTTTTACAAAAATTCAAATGTATGTACTTTTTGTACTATAGAAATGCCCTGTTGCATTTCTTGTAACAGGACAAAGAGTATGAAATGGAAAACTATTACCATCTATCTACTAGTATTTGAAGAGGGGGTAATTTCAGCACTTTCCCTTCCATGATATTCTGTACAATTGTTGTATATTGGCATTATAATATACACATTTTTCATTTACGTACTCAATAAATTATTTCAAAGTTTTCCTTAACACTTCTATTTCACTTAATAGCCCCTATATGCTTATAGGAAAATAATGTCACTCAATAAGATTTCTTTAACTCTCTTGGAACACTCAGTTTGATTCATTCAACTTCATATTTATTACGAAATTTTCTGGTTTTTTTTTTATTTATCATAGCGACATTTTTTCCCTTATATTATCTAACACCATGACTGGTAAAACAGGAATATATATTAGCTTTTTATTTCTAAGTTTATTGAATTTTCATTCTGTGACAATTTTCTTGTTATGCTATTATGATTCACACACACACAAAGTGTTTATAGGTTATTTACCAATCATACAGCAGTGGTAACCATTAAAAAATTATTCTGTTTTGAAAAGAGTCCTTTTATATGTAGTGGCTTCCTGATTTCTACATAGCACTTCTTCTGCCTATTCTTACTGCTACATGGTCAAAAATACACAGTTGAATGATTAGGGTTTTAACATTAGTTTTACTACATTTCCAACAACAAACCTGTGTTTACTCCAATACATTATCAGTTTTTAATTTTAATCTTAATTTCTATAAGAATGCATTAGCTTTATTTCTTTTAGCAATATTTCCTATGACCTTAGAATGTTTTTATTATATTTGCATTTTATTATTTACTAATCTCTTCATTAAAATCATGTCATTCTATCATCAAATATTTCCTGACATATGGTAGAAATGGAAACAACTTAATCAAGTGGAAATAACCTGAAAGCCTTCAGGATTCAATTAAATCAGCACTACAGTATATCCAAAAGTTATTCTCAAATTGAAAACACATGCATGGGAGTGGGTACGATACAAAGCATGGTATTGCTTGCTCAAGACTCACTAGAAAGACAGATTTCCCTTTATTTCTTGTCTGGATAGGTAATGAGATCTTTACTAACAAAACAATAGGCATGAACTTTTCTAATAGAAATCAACTGAGCACTTCATGAAATAAAACATGTTAAAGACCAATATATATGAGCATGTTAAGCACAAAAACAGCTTAAATTAAAATGACCTCAGAATTTGAGAGGGTAGGTTATATTTCATAAATACAATCCACAAACACAAGGACCAGTTTAGAAAATCTACATAGTCTTCATTTTTCTTGATATTGGAATTGTTACTGTAACTAGAGATAAGCTGAAGACAGGAGTACAGACTTTTGGTGTCTTATCATCTGAACCATTTAAATGTCAAGCTCAGATTCACTCAACCTTCCTACCTGCTTCAATTTACAAGTTCCATTTTAATAAAGGCATTCAACAAGTTTCTTCTGGGCTGTTAAAGAAACTCAATTATTTTCACCAAAGACAGACAGAATTTTTAACCTCCCACATCCTTGAATGGCCCCGAGGATAGACATAACTGGTCCACTGAGAGAGAGAAGAAAGTATAGACACAGAAACACACATACAGAAAAGCTGGGGTCAGGTGGGCTGTGGACATTCTGATGGAGTAATGCCGCCTACTCAATAATTGGGAACCTCGGTGCATTTATTATGTATAGCACAGGGGTCAGCTAGTCTTGGTAAGAGTTCTCTATAAGCCAGAAGTCTGAGTCTATAAACATTCAAAATGAGAAAGCTACTATTGCTTGTTTTACATACATTGGTCAATTATTCATAAATACCCATATTTGCATACACTACCAACATTTGTGCTTAAAAAAGAGGGAGATTTTGCCAGTTCCAAGTCTGAGATGTATGGAAAAAGCTTTGACCTTCCTATAGTTCAGAGGCATTGGGTCCTTGGCATGGCTATGACCACGTCAGCAATATACATTCACTCCTGACTTCATCTGCTCTCTACGCATTCTCTTGTGGCTTCCTTGTCTCCCCATATTAACCAATACTAGAATCCTGTATCTGAGTTCCTCAGAGCAGACTCACCATTCTCCTACTGAGTAGTAACATCAGTGGTCTGGGTTTTATTTATCTCTGGTCATTTCACTATTGGAACATGGCTTAAAGATCACTTCTTAAAAGCTAATTAAAAGATTTGCTTTTAATTAGCTAGCAATCAATAATCCTTAATGGGTAGAACAAATGTATTGTAGATTATTGCTGTGTTATACACATAAGAAAATCAATCTAATAAATTTATAAAGGTGTCATATACTACAAAAAAGATTGTATTTATTCAACATCCTTTTCAAAACTATAAATAGAAAGAATACAACTGCCTCTTCTATTCAAATAATGGATATTCACATATCATGCTTAAAAAATGTCTGGTATAAAGGTGAAAAATTGGTGTTTAAATCTTGAGTCTGTGAGGTAGAATCTGAGAGGGAGAACCCCTGTTTGTAAAACTGGAAAAAGTGTGCAAAACCATGACACCAGCTCTTATGATAAGACCTCAATTAAAAAAAATTTTGACCAGACAAACAATCATGGGATCCTCAAACTGTCTAAAACAGCATTTAGATGTGCGATATGACAGCTAAATTATGATAGCTATGACCCCTGACATTAAAATACCACTTGGTTAAATATCCTTGATGATAGAAAAAGGTCGTTACTATTGTATAGAACTAGAGTTCCAGAGCATTTTCCTGTACATGGGCACTAATAGAGTTCTTATCTTGAAAGGGCCTTAGTTTCATTATAATGACATTTATGTTATGGTTTTGATTTTGAATAGGGGCTTTTAGAAGATCATGGGAAAATTAGAAGATCATGGGTGGCATTTCTGGCCCACTATGATTTGTGATGGGAAAAGAGTTACGTTACCCTTGAGAACACTTTGGGGAAACTTCCTCAGATCTCTCTTTGGAGTAAATACTTGGATTTGCTTTTTAGATAAACTTTTAATTAAACTACCTCTTCTCTCAACTGAATTTTTTGAAGACTAGAACCTAGAGACCCCATAACAAGCCCATTACTACTGTATAACATTGGCCAGGTTATTTACTCTGTTTATGTTTTTGTTACATTATCTGAAAATGACAATAGCAATAATGGTAGTGATGTCAACATACTGTTAGGATAGTCAGATGACAAGATGTATGCAAAATACCTAGATGTTATAATTGTGTGTGTGTGTGTGTGTGTGTGTGTGTGTGTGTATTACTCCAAATGTACCTATATAAGGTAGCCAATCAAACATTGAAATTGAATAAATGCTGAGAAACATTTGGAGGCAGAGAAAAGTGGGACTTTTTGTCACTCAGAGAAGATTAAGTAGAAAATGGTGTTGCAGTGGCTATTAGATTTATAGTGCGCAATGGCTCCTGAAAGAGCTGGAGCCTGAGCTATGGTGTTCGAGATACTGGAGTATGTTTTTCTTCTTTTATCTCCAGATGTTCTTTATTAAATTACTTGGTAAATGATCATCTCAACAGTAAACCTTGACCATATCGGAATGCTGCAAATCAAAACCCAAATCCCAAGTTATCAACTTGTGAAAATGAAACAGCTTGGAGCCCTGAGTATTACAATAGCAAACTTGATTAAATTATTCCCTCGGCACAGGAACTAGACAGCCACTGAATGTCCCTCCACATGTCCACTATGTTAATTCTTCTCAACAAGCTTGCGTTGACCAAATCACATGGCATCTAATTCATACTAATTTTCCACGAGGTCTTCTCTACATCTGGTGTACATTACTTTCATTATCCCAATTACCTATTAATTATGTATTTCTCACAATATATGGAATATACATGTGCTTTTGTAAAAAAAAAAAAAACCACATTTGTTTAACTTAATCAGCTCTACCTAAAGACAGAAGCTAAAATGTTAAAAATGTCTTAGAGTGACAAAGTATTTGAGAGGAAGAACATAGATTTGCTTAGAAGTGTATTTAGGAAATGACATATGCTATTATATTAAACATAATGAAAATTATGCCATGTTTTTGTCTGAATTTTCATAAAATGGTACCCACAAGAATGCAGATTAGCATGTGCCTAAAATTAGCCAAACTCTATATTCTTTTTTTCTTCTAGAACTCTTTGTATGTCTCACAAAATTAAGAACTAAACTATAGATCTACATCCTCTTAATGCACTTAAGCCTTGGAAAAAATTTTAAATAGAGCTAGTCAAAATATGATGTTAGTCAGGCATAAACATTTGAAGATATTTACTAATGCATCCATTGTGCACAGGAAGTGTCAAAAGATACAACGCTATGTTAGCAGTTCTATCAGTCAATCAATTGTGAATCTACATAGATGTGTGGGATAATTATTCTCACACATGCATAGACAAGTACAGAGGGAGAAGGGCCATGTTACTAGCACTGGAGAGGCCTATGGAGATGCTTTTTAAAAATACCGACTTTACTGAAATACTGTTTACATGTCATACAAAACATCTCATTGAAGCATTAAAATATTTGATGTTTAACATATTCTGAGTGATACAATCACTAACATACACACACACACACACACACACACACACACACACACACACACGCACACAAAACTTATTTTCACCAGGCCCCAAAGAAACTTATCTTTTCTCCATAATTTCCATGTGATTTTTTTTCTCACCCCTCAGCTACCACACAAGTCTACTTGTAAGGCACTGGATATCTCAGGATATTGATGGTGACAGGTATTTCTGTTGCTCTTCTCCAAGTATAGATCAGTATATGCCAATGAGTAATTGATATTTATTTGAGATGTTAAATATGTCTCAATCTCAGCAAGTTCACACTGAACAATAGAATGTTCCAAGTAAAAGCTGGTATTTTTTGCAGTATTTTTTTCTGAATTTACAGAAATGATGTATCTGGTTGCTTGGGCTGACCACTCTGTACTCGTCATGATGACTCTCCTTCAGGTGTCTGATATAGTATCTGTTAGCAAATGGCATAGAATCTACCTTCAGTCACTTCTGATGGAAACATCACTCTGACCTTGGTGATATCAGTAGTCTTCTCTGTGTCAACGCTTGCAACCTGTGATCCATCAATACTCTCTTCGTAACAGTCAAGAGAGCTTTTCATGCTGAAGTCATATACACTCAGCTCAAATTTCTACCATAAATCTCCATCTCACTAGACAAAACCTCACAGATCCCATCAGGTCTGTCTTTGAGTGTTCTCTCCAGCCACACTCTTCATTTTGTTAGTCAACCTCACTTCTCCATTGTTCCCTCAAACAACCTGTCACCTTCTTTTCCTGAAGCATTTTAAACCTGGCTCCCAGAACCTTCTGCTCCTATGTCTGAGATTCTCAGATTATGGTTCCCAAGTTGTCATACATGTACCATGCAGGAACTTGACAGAACAGCAGATCTTCATGGCTTCTGCAGGCCCAGGCAGTCAATGGCTCTAGCTACAGTGCAGCATGTTGTTTGAGAAGTCCTACACTTACTGGTAATATACATTGGACTCACTGCCTTGCATTTTTTGCATGGGAAAAATCTTCATGCCTTTGGTCTTTACTTAGATGTCACCTTCAAAATGAGCCCTGCTCTTCTGTATCCTGCATCCTATTTATGTCTACCTCCCTACCCTCATCTTGCTCTCTCCTGTATTCTGCTCTCCCTTCACGTTTCACCTTATCTGTATAATCTTCCAGAATACTGGAGCTTTCTTTCTCAGCATGCTTTTGTCTCTTACCACTAGCCTAGAAACTACATGAGGGTAATACTCTTGCTATTTTTTTATTCACTGATGATGTGTAAGTGGCTCAAACAGAAGCTGACACAATATATTTAATAAACACCCAGTGGCACCCAGAGAGCTTAGTGAATGAGAAAGTTGGGATTTAATTGGTATCCCCTAGCAGGGAGTCCTCTGAATGCTGAGTGTCCTGAGCCTGAAAACACTAAAGATTTATTTTTATTGTTGTCTGTATATTCATGTGTGTATGTGTGTGCGACACGTGTATGTACGTGTGTGTGTGTGTGGGTGTGGGTGGGTGGGTGTGAAAGAGAGAGAGATGTATATGTGTGGGTCATGGAAGGCTGTAAAAGGTCAGATCCCCTGGAACTAGACTTATGCGAAGTTGTGAGCTGACTAATATGTGTTGGGAACTAAACTCTGCTCCTTTGGAAAATCAACAAGATTAACAAGTTGAGCTACCTCACCAGTGCCCCCTGAGTACCATATCAAGAAGTGTCATCACATTTAATTTTGAGGGGCTCTAGGTCAAATGCATACATTCTGATACTGGACATCACTCACAGAACACAAGAACCAGCCAGCCAACCTAACCACTGCCCATCTTCTTCTCTGTTTCATCAGGAAGAAAGCAAGTAAGGGGATTTTTGGGTTGCTATCCTGTGCTTTAAACTATAAACAATAAGAATGCTTCTAATAGTGTGGGCAAGCAGGGTGGGAGACTGCAATTCTTGACCATTGTACTCCCTTCTGAAGTAATAGCTACAGCTCCTTGACAGAGCTCAAAGCTGAAGCTACTGCTTCGGTGGTTCCTATGTCTTCTCTGGGTTCACTATAAATGAAAGTTGAAGTTACTTATGTAACTTAGGAGAGAGAGAGAAAAAGGAACCAACAATGACTTTTTAAAGCCTCACATAGTGCATATCCCATCTCATCACTAGACACTATAATTAAATATTTGCTATAGTTTAGGAGGACGTGGATGCAATTACATGCTGGAGAGTCTGCCTAGCCCACTGCCATTGCTCTCCAGCCTTGTAATAATAATAATAATAATAATAATAATAATAATACATTCATGATAGGGCCCAACATCAACAGTGCACCCCTTATCATGATAACTCTGAGTGGATACATGAAATAGATCATGGAAACCTCTGCTAAGCTCTAATTCTACTCCAAATGTACTCTGAAGAAAGTGTACAGTTTGGATGATCCGGTCCTTTATTCATAGGAACAATGCCAGGGAACAGGACAAAATAAACCAAACTCAATTTGTTGCTATTTTTGTAACTTAAACACAACCTGTTTCCTTAAGAACATCTAATGCTGGTCCTCCTATTGCCCTGAAAGTGGCCTCAGCCTTTCTCTTTATAATTGACTAATATAAGTCAAAACACATCTGTGAAGGAAGAAAATAAAAGAGCTTCTCGTATCCGTACCACATAACTGACGGCTACATAAATAGCGTTCTATGTGCTTGGCTCTGACCCATCTAAAAGCTTTATTCTAGCACAATAAACCCTGTGAAGGGAGATGGGGAAATGGCCTGGAGATTAGTGCTCTCAGCAAGGCAGTGTACCAGCCTAGATGCTTGTTTGCCTTTCTTGGAATAACTTTCTTAGGGAATATTACACTTTAAGCTGAGGCTACTATTTCAAATCCCAGAAAGGGCTCCTAGGAACAGTTTGGCTTTCTTGTGACAATAGATTTTCTGATGAAATACACGGTTCCCTAATGATAAAAACCTGGCACAGCTTCATATGCTGAAATTTAACCAATGTGGGGAGCATGATGCTTGGTTTGGGAACGAGTGTTTTAATAAAAGAAACATGAAATTCACTGTGCTTTGTCAAGATTATCCAACCCCAAACCATCATGAGAGTTCTCATCCTGGCCCACAAATGAGCCTTATCATCCCTCAACTTCCTCAGGTCCCACTGAGGGGACAAATAATTCAAATACATCTAGGCTGGCTTCTGTCTAGCTGATAGCATGAAAAGCAAACTAACATCTCCACTACTACAGTACCCCAAACACACTATAGAAAAGATCTGAACCTCTGCAGAATGACATAGTTATGTTTCCAAACAAATGGGTAAAGGAGCACAGGGAATAGCAATCAGAGGAAAGGGAAAGTGAGTCTCTGGATGGAAGGGCACAGACAAATGATATAGAGAAAGATAAAGATACATTCAGAAGTGGACTTTGCATCCTCCAGGTTGATACTGCTTAATGTTTTAACCAGGACAGGAAGCTAACAGTCCATAAACACACAGTTAAGTTGTTGCGGCATAGACGATAGGGATGTCTATATTTCATAGTAAGTAGTTTCCCTTACCCGCATGAGTGCCTGGTGTGTCCTACATTTCTCTCTGCTGCTTGAAACTCGTATGCTTCCTGTAATCATGTCAGAAGTCCCATTAGAGGAGAAATAAAATCTTGACGGAGACTCTGCCTTCCTGTGCACGTCCAAGCTCACATTGTAAAACAAAACTGCAAAAACAGAAAGAATCGTGATTAGCATTCATTCTTAAGGCATTGAGGTATTAACAGTTACATATCAACCAAGAAACACCTTTCCTTGATTAGTTATAAATAGTTAAACTGAAGTATGAAAAAAATAAATGAAATAGTCTTTAAAATTATTTTTAATAAAATAAAAAGTGATTTATTGACTTCTTTCCAAGTTTTCTTTCTTTTTTTTTTTTATTTTCTTTATTAACATCTTTAGCTACTTGCTCAATCATTTCATATACAAGAAAGTGAAGACCACACCATCAAAATCATTGCTAGCAGTACAAGTCTTTGGAGTCCCATTTGTCTACACACCACCCGATGGCAAAAGTGTAGATAGTGCCCTGAGCGCCAGCATCGCTCAGGATGAATCTATCTTGTGTGATAGATGACTTGTGTAATGCAGGACTAATGCCAAATATAGTACAGGTCCCTTAATTTTGTGTTTCTTATTTGAAAGCTTGATATTTTTAATTAATTTTCCTATATAGAGTGAACATACAGATCATAATCCAAACATTTATAAAATATACCTTCCTTTGAATCCAATCACCAATTATCCATTCTTTACGACTTTACTATGGTTTGACCCTCAAGAATTAATCTGCACAAAATGAAAAGTATATAATCTTTCTCTCAACTATTCTAGTGGTTTTGGGGGAGGTTAAAATCTGACATGGTTAATATTCAGCTGAAAATCAAGACCTCAGATCAGAAAAGAAGAGGTGGATTTTAAAAGCCATAAAATCATCAAGGCAGATTTTAGCAAGGAAGTAAGCCTCACTTCCTGACTCTAAAAGGGCTCTTTACAAAGTAACTTAAGAGCAGTCCTCTACTGAGTTGCCCTCACTGTATAGAAGTAATAATATATAAGTGAATTGTTTTAAAAATAAATTATATGATTCCTGAAACCTTCATTTATATTTTAAAAGAAACATACTTTGTGAAGGTATTTTACCCACAACATATGCATAAAACCTGTGTCATTCTTACATTCATTTTCAAATCTTTTAACCATCATTTAATTTACAAAATAAAGTCTAAATCAATTGAATTCAAAATTACAATAATTGTAATTTAATTACCTAGAGAACAAGAGAAAGTTGCAACTGAAGTAACCATCTTCAAATTTATCACCTGAGTCCAAAGCAAAGGTAAAGAAGGAAGGAATACAAATGTGTTCCCATCAAGAGGCAGAACATAACATCTTTAACAAACAAACCTACCATGTGGGATATTTTTTACCAGAGTCATTTGATGAGAATTCTAAAGACTGTTTTATAAGAACACTGTGATTATTTGTGTTTCATATATTCATTTTCTGACATTAAGAAACATATCTGGTGGAATGGAGTTGGAAGAACAAGAAGACAACCTCATCCACTCATGTGTATCTTTCAGATAATCCATCCGCTTGTCTGTGCTAATGTGTAATTCACTCTGGGGTCACACTCCCCAGGTGCCAATAACCCGATGAGGGTTTGCCCATCTTTTTATTACTTCAGCTCTGGCCAGAGCTTTTCAAGAGCATTATTAAAAAATGAGTCTCATAAAGTACAGATACTGGGTTCGTTCTGCCCATTACATAACAAAATTGCTCAGATTGGAACCTCTATTACACATCAAAAGTTTGGCTCCATAAGCAATTGGCAGCCTCTGTGATCTTTATATAACAGCAGCCTATACAGTTATTATGCAATCCACTTCACAAGGGACTAATATCCAAACAATGATAATCCCAGGTTTAGATATAATTTACTGGGGGCCATTTTTATTAGTAACTATTCTAAATAACATGTTTCTCTCTGTGTGCGTGTACATGTGCCTGTGCGTGTGTGTGTGTGTGTGTGTAAGTTTGAATTAACTACCCTTTTGGATGGTCCACATCAATGCTACATTCTTTATTGCAGGCAATTGAAGAGTTGCTTATAAATGGAAAAGGGGCACAGTTCTCAGAGCTGAGGGTACAGCACATTCCATACGCTAAATCCAGGTCTAGCCTCCAGATAAGCATTTTAATTACTCAGATAATGACAGCATATACTTTAGAAAATGACCCTGTGCCTGCCTCTTACTCCTTCATACCTATGCTGTGCTCCAGGTTTTATGAGCTCGGTAGTGCTGAGGGTGTAATTCTGTGATGTGACACCTGAGGCTCTATGTTCCATCTCCATTACTGTTTAAAAGGCACTAATAACAATAAAAACATTTCAACAGGAGCCCTGTAAAGCAGAGGAGCTGTGGTGCCCTCTTTTGTTTCTGAAGATTTCACAGGTTAAGCAGAGAGGGTTTACTTAATGCAGCAAGTGATGCCCCTAGCTGTGCCTCGTGAGATGCACACTAAACTTCCTTTGTGCCCATATACTGGTTAGAACAACTTGAGAACAAAAAGGACAGACAAGAGGTACACATCAAAAGATTATTCTATTCTGCTCTAAAGAAATGTCAAATGCTCATGATAATGGACAATGAGAGCACACAACTGAGTGAGTGTACACTCAAGTATGGCACTAGTTATGTGGAGCGCGCTTACCGATGTAGCCTGGGACCTCTTTGCCCTTATATGAGAAACACAGTGTAAGATCCATGCACACAGATGGAAGTCCATTTTCAGTACAGTCAAATTTTGTTCTATTTACTGACTCAGGATGGCTTAAAGATGCTTCAACAATCACTACAGGCCTTGTCCTAAGAAGGCAATAAGATTATTAATATTACTTATAGAATTATCTTACTGTAAAGACAGTCATTGCATTTATTCCCAACAAACAATGTCATTAAAATGCTTACTCAGTAGTATGTACATATGTGCTTGATTATATTTTGTCTACAGGTTAAAAGAAGTTTTCACTTAAATATATAAAACCATTAGCTTTATCTGGTCATCTGACTAATTATATCTGCTCAAGGTGACAAAAAATACCCCAAAGTTTAATAATAAAACTTCAGGATACCGTAAGGAGCACCATCAAGGCCACTGCTTTAAAAACCTGCTGCCCACTCTCTACAATTAGGGCCAACTGTCATTAAGGAGTGAAACACATCAATCTTACCTTAGCAACACTGCAGAATCAGACTGAAATGCACCAACCGCTACATCTGCAGAATAAAAATATAGCAATAGGATAGATTAGCAATGATCACTATTACCTGAGGAGAATTAACTTGCAGCTACAAATACTAAACTGCATACCATGTTTCAACTGTATGAAAATAGCATTTACAGAAACGTAATTGGGAAAGGCAAGCTAGGATCCTCAGATCCATTTCACCATTTGTCTGAATCTATTCACTCAGAAGTAACAGCAGCAATCTTTTTACAAGAGAGCAAAGAAACGGCGTGCTAGAAACTTGCAACAGGGCTGCCAAACAAAACATAAAGCTCTGAGCTGGAAGCATTCCTCCAGAAGGCTCCTTTCAGGCCTTTCAAAACAGATTTCTCCTAGCTTTTCATCACGTTTGATTGATTTCTTAGGTACTTTTTTTTTTTCTCAAGAGCACAATTACAAGTAATCTAAAGTCCTTCACATTGGCTTTCCATGTTCACACTAAAGCAGCATCCCACAAAAGAGCTTTTTCCCGCTCCAGTCCTGAAAATGGACATATTTACTCACCAACATATCCATTGTTGTCTGCATCAATTTGTCCTGAGATAGACTGTCCAAACATCCTTAGTGATTTGCTAATTTGACGTCCTTCGATTCTCTGGGAAAAAAATTAAGGGTATACGTGTATGTAACTTTGATGGGAAGGTTATTGAATATCTCATATTTCTAAGACTTTAGCTTTGTTAAATAATGAGTCTTCTCAGACTTGCCTTAGCACATTGACTAATAAAAAGTATTCTAGAGCAATCAAACGCTTTAAAAGAGGTAAAATTTTCTATCTTTAAAAACACCTGAAATCTCTTTTATTACTAAAACTTTATGTTGTGATAAAGGTAACATTTTACAGGACAATTTTTAGTGTTTCCAAAGCAATTACTTATTCCATGTCTTTGAAAGCTTTTCAAGTTTTGCATTTACTTCCATAATCAACATTAATAAATAGAGATTTTATAAAATATCTATTATTATTTATCATATATTGCTATTCAGATATCTGATGTAAATCTATTAGTTTCAGCAGATTGTTCCTTCCCATTTAAGAATAGTCCACACCTCAGTTTGCTCTATCTACTTAATTTCATGTCCAGACACTGAATTAGAAATATGTGGGTGCTATTCACAGTAAGAAAAAAATTCAGTATCTTTCAGTTGACATATATCTAACTTTTACATTTAATTTAGAGGGTCATTTGCCCACTTGTGTCTCACCAAAATAATGTTAGCTAGTAAATCTTAGGAAAGATCTTTTCTTCTCAGAATGTAAGTCTTTTTCTACACTGAGATGTTCTGATCCTCAAGATATAGAACTGAAATTATTAGTTTAACTATTATTCATAGAAAGAAATGTGGTCTCATGAACGCATTTCACTCCCTGTGCTAGCTCTGTAAAGCATGAAGCTTTATTTATTGATATCCAAGTGGGGAAACTTGGGAAAGAGTGGCCATTTCTTCAAGAACACAGATGTGTTGTCACACGTAAAGACAGGAAATAAAAATGGATTGGAACTCTAATGGAAATAAAGGGTTTAAAGAACATTGTTTTGAGAGTTAAAGTGAGAGCACTTACCAGTATTACATGGTGAAATAAAAATGTTAAGTATTTGAGAGAGAAAACAAGTCCACATCACCAGTCAAATAATGAGGGTGCTTTAATGACCAATGCTCTTGTGAAAGATTGAATAATATCTTACCTGTGAGTAGGTGGAGGAGATTCCATCTACTCGGCCATTGTAAATGTAGACAGCACCTTGCAAGTCATCTTCTTGTGGTGCACCAATAGCAATATCTGTTGGATATAAAAGTAGAAATATTAAAAACTCTCGGTGCAAAGGATGAACTTGGAAAACTAGCCTTCATGATTCTAAATGCATGTGACATAATATGAAAACTCCCTCTTCTAAGGAAACATAATTTTTTCCTCCACAAGAAAAAATACTAACATCATAATCTTCAGGATGATGCCTAATAGTCTGTGTGTGGAAAGTTACAGAGTGGGTGCTTTTGCAGCAGAGTCTCTCAGAATGGTTAAGCACACAGGGGCTGCAGACACACCTCTTGCCGCCCACCTCAGCTCTGTTGCTGTGCCCTGCTACTCTGAATGTTCCCAGTGTTTAATCTATGTGTCATGTTTCCCTACTCATGGAATCAGAGCACATGAAGATAAATATGCTTGGTATGAGAGGTATGAGAGGGTGCAACCCATCACTACATGTAACAGCATCTGGCGTGTTATAACAGGAGGTTGTATGACCACAAGAACCTTAGTTTTGAACTTCTAGACCTTTCTATTACCATAAAATGGCTTCTGGATCAATTCCTCTTCCAGTGATGGTAATTAGATATACATGCACATACAAATAAAATTTCAGAAAATACCTTGTTTTGTAAAATAATGACAGAATAAATTCATTGTGATTAATGTTGAATTTATGACACTGGGATGAAAACATGATGATCTCATGGGGAAAGCAACCCAAGAGCAACAAACATGGTGGCTCATCTCATTGCTTAAGTGATGTGAATACATGTAACATGAAGGAGAAAATTAACATTCCATAGCTGCAAGAACACGTCATTGTTATACCGCATGATTCAATGAAGGCATTTTAATGTATTTAATAATATGCAATGTTTTTAACTATGTTAACTGATTTCTAAAGAATAGAAAGTTTATTTTCACAATATCACTTATTGTCTGATTTTTTTCACAACCACAGCAGTAATTTTGGCTGCTGTTTAATACAAATTATATTTTAATTATCAGTGGCAGTTTCAAGAAGATGTAATTCCACGACATAAAAACAAATTTTAAAAAAATTACTTCCTGAATTGTAGAAAGTTGTTGCACTCTGGGAAACTGTACAATCTCCCTTCACAGATATCTATCCTATGTGCACAGTGTGATGGGATCAGTTAACTCTCAGTAGTAGGCCAAGATGGGACAGGTGTAGAGGAAGGCATTTCTACTGCAAACTTGATGTCTAGGGCAGGATGCATGTTAAGACAGTGTCGTTTATTTAATCATGTAAATGCTTCAAGATCAGTTGGTGGATATCCACTGCCCTGATTCTCACAGCTGCCCCTCACCAATTCTGTGACTCTCACTGGGTCCTTTCCAGATCCTATAGCATATCACCTCCAGACAGCGTTCCCGGCATAGAAGGGGTCACCAGAACATGCTCCACCTTTGCAACCAGACTCCGTTGGGTTTGGTAGTTTCTGGACTGTACTGGTAGTTAAATATCATGGTCCAATGATATAGAGCCCTCAAAGTTTCTTTCTAATATCAAGATCTTTTTAAAATAGAAAAACGATGGATATCAAATGTTGATAGGCATCATTTTAGAGATGAGTAAAGAACGATGCTACTTATAATCAATAGCACCTTTAGAACCAATAAAATGCTTTGAATACCTTCTTATAATCAACCATGATATAGATCAATAACTGACATAACATTATCACAATTTAGGCGGCCTTATCATTCTCATCTCCTTTTCAACAAAAAAGCAAACAACACAAAACTACAATCATGTTTGCTTCCTTGAACTATTTGAAATGTGAAAATAAGTGCCAAATTAGAGATTTTTAATTACCTTCAAAGCCATCATTGTCAATGTCGCCAAGATTCGTTATAGATTCCCCAAATCTTGCAGCATATTTGTCACTTCCAACGAGCACTCTTTCCATTTCAACCATCACAGCTCCCTAGATAACAGTGGAAAGAAGGTGTCATTATAAAACCTCCTGATAACTTGACACGTGATTTACTGCTATAATTGGATATGGATTTTTCTAATGCGTCAAATCACAGATAGAGCTTCAGTACACACATCCCAGTTCAATTCAATAAATATTTATTAAGTCAACACATATAATAGCATGATTAGAGCTCAAAGAACATGGAGAATTGTCGAACTCGTGATCCCTAGCTTTGAAAATCCAATAAATCATTTTGATAATTCAATTTAACAAGCATTTATTGAGCTCTTGCTAAAGATAATCCACTGGGCAGAGCAAACCAGTGAAAGGGGCCAAGGAGGAGTGTGTGTGTGTGTGTGTGTGTGTGTGTGTGTGTGTGTAAACACCCTGCTTCCTCCAGAAAGCAGGGATATAAGACTGGCTTTATATAAGCATGGGTGTGACTTACAAGTACAAATTGCTTTGCAGTAATGAGAAGAAGGGAAAATAATTCTAACTGAAGCAAGCAAAGAATTCCATTAAGAATTCTTTAAGAATTCCTATAAGGAGCAGGAAGGAAAGACGACCTGCAAGAAACTTCACAAAGTGGCATTCAAGGTGGCTATTGCAAGGAAGGTGTGGTTGTGATTTGCAGAAAATGTGATCAGCAAAACAGCTACATGTGTCAGTTAGAGATTTATGTTACTATCTGCCATATATTTCTTGATAAACATATATAATGACCACCACAACAAAAGACAAAATGCTGTCTTACAGTATATAGCAATTGGATTAAAAGGAAAATTTACTCTTTCTGAAGCAACCCATAGGAAGCCAGAGGAGGTCTCTGAGGTAACAGGTGATGTGACTTAAGCTGCCCTTTGGAACCGTATCCAAGCAACAATGCACTGGTCAAACATTATCTTTGAAGTCGATGGTGAGCCATTATTGCACATAGGGTGAGTTGTCTAATTACACTGTGATAATGAGCTCTGATCATTACAATCCCGCATTTTAAAAACTAATTCCATTCAGTACTCACAGATCTCACCCTCTTTTCAGGCAAATCTAGTTTTCATTCCACAAACACACATTCTATGCTTTGTCTAGTGTCCTTCACTTTTTCTTTCATAACAGAAAATTCCTAGTTCTCTCTCTCTCTCTCTCTCTCTCTCTCTCTCTCTCTCTCTCTCTCTCTTTCTCTCTCTCTCAAATACTACTTCTTCCTTGAAGTATTTTGGCCTAAAGCAAAGCGTGTCTACTTTGAATGGACTTATCACCTTCCATTTACTACGCTGTATCCCAATAACTCCTCCATGATTGGCATCTCACCCAGTCCTGAAATTCAGGAGTCACAACTGGAGTTATTTTCAGCTCTTTTGATAGTATGTTCTATTCCAGATTCTCACTAAGAGTCATTTTTGTTCTAAATGAATTAAAATTTGAATTTATCTCTGCAGATGTTATCACTACCATTTTAATTTGGAATCACTACATGGAATGAGGTTAAATCCAAGGACTGAAGGATAAAATGGTTTGGCTCCTTAGGAAAGGGAAGAGAGAGAGAGAGCTTCAGTGAAGACACAAGATGTATGACTGCAAGACAGTGATGATTTAGACGAGTTCCCGGAGAATAAGTGGTAATTGCTCCTGTTCAAGTATCCTACAGTCATCAAGAATAGCAACTAAGTGTTCACAGCGGACCCCTGAGAGATATTTAATAGATTAGATCAAAACCCAAGTCCTTCAAGTATCCCTCGTTCTTTCAGTTCATTGACAATAATTCTGGAGTGTTCACCTGTCTAGGATTTGTCTGGGCCATGGAACAACAAGGGTAAACAAAACAGACGAGTCCTCTCCCATGCTAGTACAGGCAGTGGCAAGTGAGGAAAAGAAAATATTATGCTTCTTAGTGGCTAGTGCCATTTCAGACAGTTTAGAAATAGGTAAAATGCAAAGAGAAAAAGAGAAATCTACATTGTGGGATTTAAAAATGGAAAGCAATTACTAATCTAACCTTAGTGTTTAACAGCAGTGCTCCTGGGTAAGTCAGAGGGAAGGGCAGCCTCGTCCTTTGCTCTCTGAGTACCCCTTATCTGTTTTCATATTTGGGTGGTCTAAGGTTTCAGTGAGAGGGAAATGGTCCTTTACTTCAGCAATATGATTTTTACTCTTAAACTATTTTTTTAAACATTTTCTTGTTAAGAGAAATATACCAGATATTTGCCACAAGGGAAAAATGAGAGATACTTGCTGACTAAGGGTAAGTAGTTACAAGGAAGGCCATCTGTGAGTGCGGAAGTGTGGAATGTGCGCAGCAGTGTTGTTTGTGCACAGCTGTTAATGAGATCTGAGAGATCCCTATCCAGAGAACAGTATATTTAGTTAAAGAAAGTCCTGGAGACCTCTGCATATGTAGCCTTCTGTCTATACTCAGAACTTTAAGACTCCCGTCCTTCTAAAACTGGAAGCTTTTCCTTTTGCATTATATAGACTTTAGTGTGACATTGGAAATGAAAACTTATTAAATTCTCTGAAATTTTTAAATAAGCAGGGTTGCAAGTGTACTTTGCTAAATCTTGACTAAAAGACACTGTGTCCTAGGAAATGAACCTGTTTTCTTAAAAGCTCACTCTTATTTTCAAATCAAATCAAAGGACCTAATACTGTTCATGACTTAAAACTGAATTATACTCAGTAAGTATCTAACTAAACAATGTAGCCACTTCAAAATAAATGATGCCAATCTCATATTATTTTAGAATCTAATCAAAATGAAGTGTGTAATAATACTTTATCAACACATCTTATTTCTGTTTGCAAGTCAAGGAGTTGAAAATGTTGAATGCTTCATCTATTCCTAATAAACATTTTATAACTTACTAAATTATATAAGGACAATAATTATTGAGTTATACAAGTATCCATTTTGAAGTATCTGCAAAAAACCATTTTTCTGAATTATACTTGTGTGAAAAATTAAACTAGAGGAAATTTTAATTAGTAGAGTGAACTCCCACAAGCTGTGCACAGTGATTCCTTTGTTTTCTGTCTCATATTTCTGGAATAGTTACTAACTGACATGCTCTGTTCATTTTCATAGCATCAATACAGCAGCAGAAATTTTACTTTGGTTCATCAAATAACTTTAAACTATGTCTTTGACTGAGAAAAGTGTTCAATGAATAAAAATGCTTCCTGTACAAGTCTGATGATCCAAGTTGGATCCCAGGAATATGGAGTGGAAAGAGAGGCCTGATTTCCTCTGGTCTCCACATATGTACCATGGCACGGATAAGCATGCATGAACATGCATCACATACTTGTGCACACAAACACACTAATTTCAAAAAAGAATCTGTAGTCTCAGAACCCTGAAGTAAGAGCAGTATCAGTCTGAATTATAATTTATGAATGACTTCTAGTTTGGGGACGATCAGACATACCAAGCCAGAGTTGATGTACACGAACACTCTTCCTTCCTCCCTGATGGTGCTCTGCATGGGAGCTCCAACAAGGAGATCTGAGAAGCCATCTGCATTGAGGTCCACTGCACAGACAGAAGCTCCAAAGTATGATCCAAGCTGTTCCAAAGCAAAGCACATGCACAATGAGAACATGCAATTCTATTCACAGAAGCCCTCAGCAAACCCAAAGGCAGAAACTTATTTACCTTTTTACCTTTCATTTCATATACGATGTTCAGTTCGCTTTCATCAATGCTGAATATATACGCCTACAGTTGGGAAAAGAATTCAAAGACATTTACTTTCTTATCAAATTTTCTCTTAAAAAATAACACAGCTTATTTGTTTAATCAAAATATCAATCTCTACAACATGTAAATGGACAAACAGAAAATATCAAGTGTTTAATAAAATTGTTACCACTACAAATTTTAAGAGTGATATGCAATATTAATATTTATGTTGATACGTGTGACTTGAAACACTATCCCCTCAGGAACTAACTTTTGGATCCCATAGAAAGAAACAGAAAAACTGTTACTGAAAAAAAAGATAGTCCTCCCAATATGTATGTGGCAAAGTAGAAAAATCTAGAGCTAGAATTATGCTATTCTTTCTAGTTTTACCATGCAGCATTATCTGTCTTGACTCCCTCTTATTAAATAATAACCAGTCCATTTATTCTCTGGGCATCTATAGATAATTACACTTTATCTAGTTATTGTCTATATCATATTATCTATAATTTGCTATCTATATGTTATCAATTTCCTCATTTAAGTTATATGATTCCCCTTTAAATTTTTCAGCTAAATTTCTTTGAGAGCTATAAATAAATCTTGAAGAGATTCAACTGATGCAATAGACTGCTCATCATTTTAATCTTATATTTCACAGTGTCCATTTAACACTTGACTGTCTCATATAATCTGTTCAAGACTTTGTGAAGAAGTAGAGAGAGAAAAGGAAAGTCTTACTTTCCCTATCTGTTCGTGTTGAGGGGCTCCCCCCACGACTTCGGTAGTATGTGGACTTCGAAAATGACCAGCTCCAACTGAGTAGCCTTCATAAAAGGAGAGAAATACATGAGACTCATCATTCACAGCAGGTATATGCTTTTCTAACTCTGCATGGTGGTAACCAAAATTATTCAAAATGATGACTTTATGGAGAACCTCAAAAACATTTATATTAAATTAAAATGGTCACTTAAGCAATTTAAACATATATATTTTAAAAACAATGATATAGGTTTGAATTTCCAAGCTCTCAATATTGAAAATATGACCTTGACACTTGATCTGTTATTCCCTGTGTGACATGATTAGCTGTGGTCTTCCAGGATTATAGCTGCTACATCTGAGACTATACAAAATTCTGAACAATCTTCACAGATTTCATGCAATCTTTCTATTGCATGGACTTTACATAAAGGTATAACTTTACATGATAAGAGATATAAAATGGGTTACATTCTCTGCAATACATCAAGCCACTGTTCAATCACATAAGGGGATGTCTTATGAATTCTGTTGGAATGATAGTAATATACTACTTGTTTTATTAGTGCCCATTCAGAACACAAAATGCTCACATTTAAAGCACATATGGCTCAAATAAGCCTATGTTTTGTACCAAAACAGAAACAAAATATCTATGGAACGTATAAACTTTACTGCAAAGGGAAACAATGTCACAAAATTTGTATTTTGTGGAAATATAGGTGACAAATATGATATTCTTGACTTGTGAAATAACAGCAATGAGGAGGAGGGAGAAAATGACAATAAAAATGGCTAAACTCTGAGAAACAATCCAAGATAATCTTAAAAGCAAAACTTCTATAAGGAAAAACCAAAATAATAATTTTTAGAATATGCTTCATATTGCCCACCTTTATTTATTTTAAGGATATTATTTTAAGATCTATTGGTTTTCAATAGCTAGTTTAAGAATTAAAGCATATATATTCAAAGACATGTGTTTAAATGAATGAATTAATGCAAAGTTAGCACAGAAACTTCCTAGGGAGCCAGGAGTGGTGACACACCCCTTTAATTCTAACACTCATGCATCAGAGGTCAACTAGGGCTACATAGTGAGACTCTGTCTTAAAAACAGAAAAGAACAAAAATGAAAGAAAAAGAAAGGAAGATAGAAGAAAGAAAGTAAGGAAGGAAAAACTAAAGGAAGGAAAAAAAAGAATTGGTGGTGGGGGCTTCCTAAGATAGAGTAACATTCAACAGTTCCTACATAAGAACACACGGATGACAACTGTAGTTACCTATGTCAGTATAAGATATACAGTTAATGAAATACAATTGGCTTTATGCCTAGTTGAGACAGTTTGTGATATACCTAATTGTTACTGGTCAATCGGATGCACATATAATTTCTAAAGCACAGATATTTAAGTCGGTCAAATTTTTACGGTACCTAAGTAGCTTCCAAATTTTACTTGATTCTGTCTGTCTAAAAATGCTTTGTATTTGTTTGTAGTTGTACTGTAGACAAAGACGGAGCCAGTCCAGTACGATGATCCTGGGGCCCCCATCACAATTAAATCCTGCAAGAGAAAACTCATCATTTGAAAGTTAAACCCTACCCCACCAAACCTCTTGCAAATATACAACATTCTAGGCAAATAGTCAGGAAATGCATTTTATATTGAAGCTCAAAAATAGGAACATTTTATTAATTTAAATCCGTATGTTAAATTGCCAGAAAAGCTAAGAATACAATTTTAGAGATGAAACTCTGGAACTTTGTCCACATTTACCAGTGGGTTTAAAAATATCAAAGGTAGGGCCATTAGGAACTAGAATAAGCTTTGGGGACAAAGGCAATGTGGGTCAGTGGAAGACAATCATCCGTGTGTAATTCATTAGTGTTCATTACCAGGATAATCATGTGTTACTAGAGAGTAAAGGGGGCCTAATTTATTTCAATTTGCAAAAATCACTGAATAGTGTCCCTAACAATTCCAGCTCAGATAATAAAAAGCCTAGTGAAGTTTGGGGCATGTTTTATTCTAAGAAGGAAGGAGGGAGGGAAAGAGCAAGTTCTTGCCTCTGTTGCATAACAACTCAGAGCAATCAGACCTAATTACCATATAGTATATTCTCTAATTCTGAACTTTCAGTGTAATCAGTTCAATATAGCTAAACAAAGAATTGTTATAACATGTATACAGGAAGTGAACCCAAAGTGATACAATCTGGTCTCCATGGAGTTAGAAAATATTTATGAAATTATAATGGGTTTCTGAGAAAACTTGCAACATTTATTATTATTATTATTATTATTATTATTATTTAAACTGAGGACAACATATAGTTTAGTTTTAGGTAGTAGAAAGAGTTTGGGATTATCTCTGATTTTCAAAGGGTATTATAAGTTTAAGCCTTACTATTATCATAATTTTAATGTAAAGATGGACTCATGTATCTCCTTCATATTCAACTGGTAATTTAAAACAATATACTTGGATAGATATTTTCATCTTTGATGTTAGCAAAATAAGTAACTAGCTTCTTTAGATTTCCACAAAGTTCTTGGTAGAGGGGATAATCTCCAGTTGATCCTATGTAATATTAGCCATTTACAATTTTACAATTTACAAAATTATAATTATAATTTTCTAAAATTATATGCAAAACAGTTAATGGCATAAACATGTTAATAATAGTCTACAGCTTAAGATTACTTAACTGTTACTCAGTAAGTCTATAGAAACCCCAGAATTAAGCTTCTACATATACACAATCACCGGAGCTGATACTAAGTTGTTACCTGTGTGTAAAAACTAGATATTCCAGCTTGACACGATGCAAAATTTTCTCCAAATTTTCTCACATAATCTAAAACAGAAATTTAATATCGGTTTAAACAAATTAGAACTATATATTTTGAGACAAAGTTTGGCTGTAAAACCCAGGCTGGCCTTGAACTCAAAATTCTTCTGACTCAGTCTTCTAATTGTTTAGGTTTAATTTTTATGATAATGACCATCCACCATAGTTTTATTTTTCTCAGAGCTTTTCACAAATATGACTCTTAAGATCTGTGTCTTATGCTCTACTTTTGAAAATGATAGTAATTGTCATAATTTAAGATCTTTCAGATCTCCTGTATTAACCTTCAAATTATCGTCATGAATCACAATTAAAGGTGCTTCTCCCTCTGTTTCCACTTCATAGGACTTAATGACAACATATGCTAAAGGTTAAAATGAATCAGTGAGTGAAAGGCCAAGAGCTAGAATTTCAGTCTTTAGGTTCACAGTTTCCTGTGTTATTACATATACTGGAAGTGCACAACCATATGCTCTGTGGGACACACACAGGTAGAATGGCTATTTATTCATACAACTTAATACAGCCTCTCTTCATGATGACTTTTTGCCTGTATGCGTTCAAAACAATGGCAATCTACCTTCTTGGAAAAATCCCACAGAAAGCTGTCACATTGCATAACATGCTGTACATCTCATTGCTAGATTCATTGGTCTGACAAAATTGGAACTCAGTGTCCTGTGATTGACAACTCCTTATCCGGCTCCACCTCCACATCCCCAACCACATTGATATTCTTTTCCCCTGAATTTCATATTTTTAGATTTCACATATAAATATGATTGATTATATGTTGTTTTCTGTGTCTGGTTTATAGTGTTCTCCATATTCATCCATGGTGTCCCAAAAGCCAGGGCTTACTAAAGCTGGATGACATTCAACTGTATGTATGCACACTTACACACCACCCAAGAGTTCTTTATTCTCACACTCCAGAAAGGACCATGGAGTTGTGTGGAGTTTATATTTTCTGTATCTTGAGAACCTTCTGTAGAGTCTTTCATGATGCTGCAGTAATTTGCACTCATGTCATCTTGGCTAACATTTACCTCTCACCTTTTTGGTAAACAGCCATTTCAAAAGATAAGAGGTGATCTTTCCAGGTTTGATTGATTTATATTCCGTGATGGTCAGTAACACCAACCACCCTTCATAAAACCAGCAGCCATTTCTCTGCTTTCATTGGAGAGAAAAGATCTTGGTTTCACTGACTTGGAATCAGGTTACTGGTTCTGTGGTATCTCTTTGATGAGATTCCATATGTATTTTGGTAATGATCTCCACATCTGAGAGTGTTTGCACATGCCTGGTCCACTCGCCAGCTTCTCTCTCTGCTCACTTAATGACTTCCTCAGCTATGCAGAAGTTTTGCTGCTTGCCCTACTGCCACATGTCCCTTTCCTTTTGTAGTTTGAGCTTTCGTTTATGACCTCCAGGAAATCATTACTCTCTCTGTTACTCTCCAGGAGTTACAGGGTTGGGGGCTTCACATTTAAGTTTTTATTCCATTTTGAGTTTACTTGTATGTGTGGTATAAGAATTCAATACCACTCTTTTGTAGATGGACATTCACTTTTCTCACATTAATTTATTGAGATTATCTCTTCCTTCCTGCTTTGTCTCATAGAAAGAATCAAGACCCATGTGGACGGGTAAGTTCCCGTACTGCAAAGCTCTGTGCTTGATGCTTTGGGGGTTAGTTAAGTGACAGAGCCCTGCTTCTTCTCCTGATGCTCTTTCATTCATAAACTTCTATGAAAAAAAAGATGAGGACCACTCTTTCTTTTGACAAATTACTACATCAGTGTATCTGCATTCCCTGACATGATTTCTCACTCCTTTCGAGTGTGTGCTATGTTAATAAGGCTATGCTCATATAAACTTCTAAAAGCATATAGATAAGTATATTTTAAAAAAGTAAGTCCCGCAGGAAAATGTTTAAATACACAAAATAAAACTATTAGGCAAAAGGGAATAATAAATATATAGAAATCCAGACTGAATTGTATTGAAATTGAAAATTTAGTATTCATCTTTTATCTTCTTGTATTCAAAGGTAAAATATAAACAGTTATTACATGGACTTTCTCCATGACATCAAATTTCAGACATGAAAAATCCTAAAATGATCAGAATCAGTAGGTAAATTTAAGTATGTGTTCAAAGTTCTGACAGGTAATTAAAGTTATCTTTGGATGATAAGGGAGATGATAACAGTATTTTTTATCATTAGAAAAAATTGGCATTTATCATATTTTTTGGTGTTCTAAAGAGAGTTTTAGAGTTATTGTTATAAATGGCATCTTGAAAGCTACTGACATTTGTCCCTAAATCTAATTTTATATCCTAGTTATGTACGTAAAATACAGATTTCCATTGAGACAGAGTTTTTCAAAATTAGACCAGTGGTTCTCAAGCTTCCTAATGCTGTAACCCTTTAATAAAGTTCCTCATGTTGTGGCGACCTTTGATCATAAAATGAGTTCTGTTAAGAGTTCACAAGTGAAACTTTGCTTCTGTTATGAATTGTAATGTAAATATTTGTGTTTTCTGATGGTCTTAGGTGACCCCTGGGAAAGTATCATTTGAGCCCCAAAGGAGGTGTGATCCACAGGTTGAGAACCAAGTGTTGCTATAGACACTAATGCCTTACATCTTCAAGGAACACATATGAGCTGGGGAAAAGGGAAGTGGGAAGGTTTTGCTTTTGCTAATGCCTTGAATCCTTTTAAAGACTCCTACAAGCTTCTAGGAAAACAGGAAATATAGTCATTATCTTTCTAATAAGAATTTTCTATGTAATTTCATGACTTTGAGGATTCTATATTTTCCTGGCATTAGACGTGCTTATACTGATTTGGAAATAAAAGTAGTACAAAATTGGATAGTTACCAACTACTTTCCACAATTATTCAAATGAAAATGAAGAATTGCTTTTCAAAAGCACAGAATGTTTGTATAAGGTGTTGTCACTAATACACAGAGTAAACAAAGGAAGGATACTGTAAGTTAACAATGGCTTTATCAAAGATATGCTTCTTTTTTGAGCAGGCAAAAAATGAAAATGCAAAGAAAAGCTGACGGAAAGCCTTTGTTTGCTTCTCTTTGTCTAGGTGGTTTATGTCCCTCTCTCTTACCTTGGTAACACGGGGCAATCCTTTTGCTAAGTTCTGTCCGCAAATCAGAAGGCATGCCGTAGCAAACACCAGTGGGGAGTTTATTATCATTCTTCATGTAAAATATATTTTTCCACCTGTGCCCACAAGTCTGAATAAAACAAAAAGTCAAACAAAAATTTGAAAGTCATACCTAGAAGGTCTGATTCCAGGACTGGTTTGGGTCGGTGGACTCACTTCAATACCTACCACGACAGATCCATTTTCTCCCGGCTGTCTGGAAAGCGTTACCCCCAGCCACTGGTTATCTCTCTCTTCCAAGCATGTCCTCCCACAGGGCTCACCACTGGGGCTACCTGCAGCATTTGGAAAAATCTTATCAGTTTTGTTGCAAACAAAGTTTTTCTAAAATCATAGAGTACTTAAAACTAGACCCTTACTTCCAGGATTTCTCTTCCCACAACTTTGTCTCATCTTATATTCAGTTCAATTGAGGAGTAAAAGTGAGTTGCTCTCTGCTGACATAGTTGGCCTCCACACAAGCTGAATCTTTTTTTGCTGAAATGACCTCTGAGAGATGCTGTAGAGGCCCTGAAGAAGCGGCCTCTGTGGTATAGGAGGTAGCTAATGAAGCTGAACGGGATGCGAAGGGCCGTTTGATACACATCAGAGGCTGATGTTTGGAGAAGAGTTTGTGTTTTGCCTTACCCATTTGTTAACAGCAGCCGAGCACTTTCTGAAAATGGCTCTTGACTGTTGCTCAGCAGTTAGAATGCAGTTTATTAGAACTGGAAGAGGAGGACTGAGTGCATAGACAGTGGAGTGTATAATTAGCATACCGATAACGCATAGCCTTTGAAACAAAATGCCCTGTGGTTTAGACTTTGTGGAATGACTGGTGTTTTCAACAATGGTAAAAGGTCTTTGAAAACAATATGCTGTCAGGAAAAAAAAGTCAATAAACACACTTTGGCAAATGCATAAATTGCAGAAAAAGTCCAACATAAAGGAACTACAAGGGTGGGACCCAGCCCTGCTAAAATGTACACCAATCATCTTTATAGCCATCATCTTTTATTTACCAGCACAAACCTTAGCTTTTGAGTGGGAGCCCCAGTGAAATTCTTTGTTAAAGTGATTTCACATCATTCACTGGAGGAAGAATAAGATAACATGGGTATCATAGATTTTTTTTTTTTTACTGTCTTTACATTTTATCCTTGTTAGTCAACACTTGACTGTTCCTTGCTCAGTTCTGACAGCAGAAAAAAAGCATTAGCATCAGTTAGCTGAGGTAAGTGTACCGGAAGCTGAAATACTTTACTTTGAACGCTGGTCACGAGTTTTTATAGTGTTATAACAAAATGTCCCACAAGTGTCTTTGTATCATTAAGTACATGTTTTCCCCTCTAACCTGAATCCTAGGTAGCATTTCCTGGGCAAACTCACAATGCCTACATATATAAAGATACTGTATTTAAAACAAAATCATTTATATTGACTTTCCTGAGTCATAACAATTCTGTGTAAGAAGTGTAGGAAGATATTTATGAATGTATTTGTAGGTTTCAAAACAACATTCACAGAATACCTAATGCTTTAACACAATCAAGCTGAAGGGATCTTCCCAAACTCTTTCCTGGAGTCTTATTCAGTGAATCCAGCCAGACCTGTCTATTCCAAGGATTGCTTCAGATCAGATCACAAGCCTGGTTGGCATAGAACATTGATAAAGCTTTGCTGGCTTGGATTCCTGGAAACCAATGATGTCTTGTACTACTAATGGGTTGTCTGGGAGAGATAGACTGGGAAATGAAGGCAAATAGACCCAGAGAAAGAACACTGCTAAGCAACAGGAAGAGAAGCTTGCTGTGGTCCAAAGCCTGATAAAGAATGGTCGTGATGTACACAGAACTTCCTGGGTAAAAATTATGAAAGAAAGAGTGGAGAGAGGAGTAAGGGGAAAGGAAGGAAATCCAAGAAATAGAACGTGTTTGTATGATGTTCCATTATACACTCCACTTTGTATGCTCTCAGTCATCATCTTCCAGCTCCAATAAGCTGCACTTTAATTGACAACCCTATTGTCAACCAATAGGGTTAGCAGTCTAACACAGGGAGCTACTAGGGCTACATGATTCCAAAACAAAGCAGGAGAAATAAGAAGGGAAGCCTAAGGATAATTTAATTTTCACTGGGATGCAATTTGCAGTTGGAATTGTCTTTAAAATCACCAATACTTTAAAATGAATGTCAAAAACAGACCAGCAAAGGTAGATCCAGGCTATGTGCAGTTGAAGCTGTTACTATAAGAATAAACAGCATAAAATCAAAAATACAAAACTATTTTTAAAGACAAGAGTGCATGGGCTTCTGAGTGCTACCGTCTCTGTTGGCATGTGGTTGAGAAATGGGTGTTTTCCTCAAGATTAGGTTTGATATTTGCAAACAAACATTCTCTTCTATAGTTACTCACCAGAAGTTTAAAAACAACAAACACAGCGCTACGGAACCACACAAATGATATCATGCAAATTTGCTAGTTGAAAATGGCCCAGAAGTTCATATGTGCAGGAATAGCATCCTGCATGCAATTATGTGTCTCTTAGCTGAGCTGCTCCCTATGTTCTTAAATGAACATTAGAGATACCTTTGCCAAGTTAAGCTGTTATCTGTTTCATCCAAGCTGCCTCCTGCACAATAGTGTTTAGCCCTGCAGAAGACAGTTGCTGCTGTCACTGCCTAGCCTTCCTGTTCTCTCCATTCATTTCTTATCATTTCAGCTGCCAGCTCTCCATTTCTGGGGTTTTCTGAGCCCTCCAGGACTTCTGAATGCTATGGCTTGTTGAGAATGACTTCTCTGAGAGTCCATAAGGTTCTAGGCTTTGATGTCCTGTGTGGCCCAAGCCCTACTCTCCTCCCAGTCTTAATTCTCTGGTTAAAGCACTGATTCTTAGAAACAGAACAAAGAGCCCTCCAGAAGCCACAAGAAGAGATGTTTACTTTGACATGAAACATGGTCAAACATTCTCAGGATTCAAGTGTTGAGGCTAAGATGCTCTTGAATGGGGGATGTGGAGGATGTGGTTAAGGAAGATTACACACAGTCTTTCACATGTGTTATTATGTGGTCTCAACAACAGATACTGTCTAATTTATAGCTCTCTGATTTATGGTAATTTAAAAATATATATTTACATATTATGTGTATATATTAAATGATATAATGCATGCCATTTATCTACTTTACAGAAAAGACTCTCAACTTTAGAAGTCAAGGGCTCTTCCTGGCATAGGCTGTGATCACCGGGAGAAATTATGATGATTCATTAACCAGTAGGAAGGAGGACTTTGTTCTGACTGAGATTGGCTGCGTACATTTGTTTGCAGCTGCTCTGCTCTGCTCTGCTCTGCTCTGCTCTGCTCTGCTCTGCTCTGTTCCTATGGTTTAGCACTGACTTTATTCATCGTGGCCAAATCCAAATCATCCCATCCCAACACAAAACCCAGAAATATGTGCTAACATTTGAACGAACATTATAAATAGAAAACAATAACCCATATTCTATTTGTGTTACATGTCTTGATTCGAAACAGATCAAAAGTATGACTATGAGGCCATAAAGAAAATTCATAAAATAATAAAATTTTGAAGAATTATTTTTACAGGCATACACTCATGTATACCCACTTACACCCCCCATACACACTCAGAACCACACATATACACATTGTGATTTTCCTTCTTTTTTGTTTCTTGACACTGCTTCCCTCAGAGACAATCCTCAACTTCAACCACGGTACAGAGAGGCTTTCAGCTCTTGTTATTAGACAAAATGAGTTCCAGGAAGAGTCTGCAAGTCACCGCTCCAGCCCTAGAATTGTCTTGATTTCTGGAACATGTTCCCCTTCTCTTTGAGAATGCCAGAAAAATCGCAGCAGAAGAGTCAAGATGGCCCCATCTTATTCTTTTCTTAGACCTCTGAGACTTCCCTCAACCTCTGTGCTTCTGAATCTACTGTTCCTTGCAAAGTAGTTGAATGGTCCTGAGGTCACCTAGAAGAGTTTTAAACAAACACCAACCACCACACGTGCCCCTCTCTCACCATCAGTACTCAAACATGTGGCTGCTAGGGGAAGACCTGGCCATTAGCATTTAAAAATATCTCCCAGGTAACTGTATTTGGGGGTTGAAGCTGGGCTAAAGAACAACTGCTTCAACAATGTAAATGGGCAGGCTTTTTCCTGTATAGTTACTGGGAAACCTATGTTGCTTTCAAAATAGTAATTAGAGATCTGTCCTATTGGGTTTCAGCTAGGTAATAAGAATAGGCAATTAAATACTAAACATATTTTCATCATGAAGAAATTTGGTATTCATTTGAACAGAAGTGACATTTGCAAAAACTGTCACAAGAAAGCTAATTTTCATGAATGTCTTTGACAAGTCCATAAAAAAATCCATATTTTATTTTACCCAATGTCATGCTGCAATGATTTATAATCCCATTTTCAAGTCAGCTTATACATTACTGAGCTAAACTTTTAGCAAATCAAATCAGTTCCATGATTGAAAAAGTATTTTACATGGTTGAAAACAAAAGAGGTCAGCAGAAATTAGCATCTGATGTTTTTCCACTCTTTTGCACTAGAATGGCTAATTTGTGGCATAGTTGAATGCATCTCCCCAGTACAAATTAAGGAAAAAAATAAATATTAAAAACCATCCCCCTTAGTTTAATAATTAAGCCCATTCTTACTTATTTCAAATTGAAGAAGAAAATAGGGTGTGTGTGTGTATTAGTTTTAAATTTCAAACTAATGATTTCTACCAGTATACAAAAATGCATATGTAAATGAAAATTAGAAATTTTAATGGTCAAAAATAAGATTGCTAGTACAGAGCTAACTGGGTATTCTTAAACACACCTCTTCTCCTTACTTTTATTTTACTGTTCGCTTCCTTGTATAGTATTAATACTCCAAAAATCTAGCTAGACAATGGAGGACTAAATAGTCAATCTTCCATATCACCTCAAGGAGGAGAGACTGGTTGTGTTTTGACAGTAGCACTCTGGTAGCCTAGAACACTGCTGCTCACACAGCAGGAAGGTACTTGATAGACAATTGTGAAGAGGGATTTTGAAATATATTATGCCACCATATAAATCCCTTACTAGATATGACAAAAGTCCATGATGTTTTCACCAGACTCAGAGATGAAAGAGTCACTTTGTTTCTGTGTCCCCTAGTTTTCTTCTACAATACTATTTCCTCGAGTTTTAAGACATAGTAACAAACAGTGTGGAGGAAACAGCACTTGAGATTGAAGACGTTTCCAAGTATGTCTGGGAGG